CACACCGGAATGCAGAGAGGAATCTGAAATCTACAACTACCAATGGATTCAACTTTCGAATAATAAGTTCATTAATAGGATCTTGCGGGGTATGCTTGACCTGGCTTGACAGTAAGAAATAAGGAAAAAGATAACACTACATGTGCTAATTTTAACACTTATGATGTACTGCTTGCACTGTGAAGGAGGAATACAGTAAACATTTTTGTGAACACTCTGTATCCTTCTCCCTATTAGTAACGCTCTTCATTGGTGCCAGATGTGAAAGTGTACAAAAGATTCTTCCATCTTACGGTACCTGTTACAATCTGTTCCTCGGCAGATTTCTTGTCATTCTTTTTAAAGCAAAAATCTCCAAGAGCTCTTGATAAAGCCAAATTACCTACAGGATAACACACAATAACAAATTCATTACTGCCCATCAAAATGGAACTAAGCACTGAAACCCAAAACAATAATTCAATTTAATCTACTTACCATTTACTCTGTTAAACTCTACCCAGCCTCCTGCTGCAATAATTCTTCTGGTTTCATCTTGAATAAAAGAGAGAAAACATTGTTTTTAATGAGAAGTGGACACGTGAAGGAATAATGTGGCTGATGATGCAAATCAGCAATCAAACAAACAGCTTGGGTAAGAAACAAGCCAATCTGCCAATTAAAGCCCCAAACTGTCCAATTCTCCTTCTAATTTTCCTTGAAAATATTTAAGAAATAAAAGAAGAATTGGAGGACTACACACAAGCCCTAGGATTTCAAATCTCGTGGAGAACAATTTTTCGGCTTCGTGCCCAGAGTTCACGGAAAACCATCTGTAACAATTTTTTGGTCCGTAAAAATTCATGGGAACCCACTTTTATTTCTTTTAATGTACAGAAAAACTGGACGCCATAACAATAGCTGTTACATCTTTCATGCATGAGTCATCAGTAATGTGCAATGCACTTTGGGAACGATTCAAGATGGTGGATGATAGAAAAATGGTAACGTTTTTTAAAATTTTCGTATATACACAAGCTGAGTCATAAAGAATTGCTCTGCTAGTTAAGAATCCAAGTGGAAAAATACTACAGGGTGCAAAGAAATTCATTTTTACAGCTTGTCATTTGGGCAAGCTGAAGCTAGTAGTTACTAGCCCAAACGTCATTTCAACTAGCCCCCAAAATTTTTTGATGAGCAGAATTGATTTCACAGTTCTTCTGTAAGAAGAATTCCTCAAAATACTTCACTTGCCCGTTGGGCAGGTTAAGAACAGAATTCACTAGCCCCATAGCAAAATCCACTAGCCCCACGCTATCGCACACTACTTTCTTTGCACGCTGTACCTATATTGTATTTTGATCCCTCAGGGTAAGTCACTGGGAAACTATTTTTTGGTTCTGTTTTTTTTCTTACGATCACTGTAACGAAATCCTAGGGCTTGACATAGGGCCTTATTCCATGCACACCAAATCAATTACTTTCATAGATATCCCAAAATACTACAACATTAAACAAATAATTTTATTTTGATGTCCATTACACATCTAACATGTCAGCATTACCATCATTGCTGGGTTTATGATCATAGGAAAGTTGTTCAACTGCTCCTTTCTTTGATGCTATTGCTCTGGAGTCACCAACATTTCCCTAAAAAGACCAAGAAAATCAGGAGGTGGATATTACAAAAAGTACATACACACTGCAGAAAACCATTTATCCACCATGAAACACCAGTTATTTTGCAAACCCTTATACAACCCTCTAGGGTGGATTATTGCATAATTCACGCAATTTACCTCCCAAGTGATTCAAAATATTATTTAACTTTCCATCACATGTGGCACAGTTCATCCATTCATTGGTACTACACCTTTAAAGGGGACTTTACAATTTACAAAGTTTGTTGTTTCTAAAACACTGTCAAGTAATCGACAATACATCAGCGGCTATTTCTTCTTTTATTAAATATATATCTTCCTTCTTTTATATATAAAATAAAAGTGCTGTCAAGAGTGAAGAAAATATTCAACAAAGCTCACTCTCGCCCCAGTTTCAGCAAAAGGTGTACCTCAGGGCCCTAACATAACATGCCCTATTAGTACAATGAACATAATATTTTTACTATTCCCTTAATCTGTTAGCACCCTGTTAGCCACACTACTACTACTACTACTACTACTACTACTGCTACTAAATGTAAACTTATTCATCGACTGTGCTAATCACACAATTGCCGTGCAATCCATCACGTTTTCCTGGAGGCTGTCAATTTAAGTTGAATTTTTCCAAGTCAAACAAATGTAAGTAGACTTTACCCCAGGTCAAGAAATACCACAAATTAACAACACTACTTTCAGAGCCACTTTGATGCAAAAAATGTGTTGCTTGATCACTGGAGTGACTGCCATTGATTAAGAACACTAAGGATATTCTTACACAATAAATTTTCTGGTTTTTGAGAATAACTACTACAGCAGTTGTTCCTGCCATCTCATCCTTCATCTGTTCATCTGAAATCAAAACAAAAT